TGGGATATATCATGCGGATGATTGGGAAGGTTACCAGCAGCACTGGAAGCAGTACTGTATGTAGGGAGCTGGCACTTCTCTCTCTCTCTCTCTCTCTTTTGATGAAAATGGAAATGCTCTTGGCATCAAACTGGCATGAAACGTATTGTAAAGCTCCGCCCAGTAGGACTGACTCTGCCCAGATTCTCTCCCACTTCCATTTTTATGTATTTCGAGCCATTTGACCTAGCATTTCACACCTCGTGGTCGCTTCATTCCTACAGGTTTGGCTGGTAGAACAAAATGGTCGAGTTGTTGGTTGGCTCCTTTGCAACTGTTTCTTTGTGCCATTTACACCTCGCAATATTTATGAAGTGAAATGCGTGGCACCTCCTAAAACATCCTGCCGGCGGTCTTCCCTCTTGAGAAACCGTTCAAGGGAAGCGCCAGGAGCCCGCCCAAGCCAGTACGGAACATTTCTTTGATTTGGTAGTGTCCGATTTTGACTGGGAGCTTTCCTCAAAGTTCATTCTGCTCTGACCGTGGGGGCGGAGTCACTCAAACCGCTGATCCTTCTCGTTGACTGGCTCCTTCTTGTAGAATGACTATTATTGGAGGAAGGGGCACCAGTGAGGAAGTCAGTTATTCCGCTTATTAGCAGAGAGCGCGGCCGCAGTTACCCACCTGGATGTTGCATTTCATACACCCTCGATTTCTCTGGAACTCGCTAGTTCATTCATTTCTGCCTATCTATAACCTGCTGTAGTGGAGTATTTTTAGGAACGATGAGACATCGGACATTCCCAAAGAAGTATTAGATAAGTTCGGTGAGCTTGGAGGATTTGGTATTCTCGTACCAGAAGAGTACGGTGGTGCCGGCATGTGCAACAGCCAAATGGCAAGACTCGCCGAGACCATTGGCGCTCACGATCTAGGGTTCGGTATCGTCATGGGGGCTCATCAGGTAGATGTTATTCTTTTTTTTTTTGAAAGAGGGTTCTTCTCGCGAAGCTCGAGTTCGCAGAAGCGTCCGCATTCGTCCTTTCTGCAGGGCTTCTCAGGGAATGAGGGGTTGCCTTGTTTGAAGATTACGACAGAGCCTGCTCTAGCCACTGTCACTCTAAACTCTAACCAGCCCAGTGCCATGAGTGAATTGCACCACTAATGTATACTCATATCTTTCAGTCATTTGTCCCCCGGCTGATTTATGCGTGGGAGAGGGGGTGGGTACCGAAAACGCTACTTCCTTTTTTGGGATAAGTTTTGACAGTGGGCGCTATATGAAGCCAGTTTACCTCTCACTGGCACGTTCCGCGGCTTCAGAACTTGAATCTGTTGCCATCCAGCCATTGTCTACGCTCTAGCACTCCAACCCACGCTCTCCCCTGTCGGTTTATCCACTTTTTGGTCTTTGCTATCCCTAGCCTTTTCTCCTATCATTCATTCCCCCTAGCCCCTGTCTCTTGTAACGGAATCTGGTGTAACCTTAGTGGTTTGCTGGCTCTGTGCTCCCGTCGCGCACAACTCGCGCGTTTACATTCTTATTGATACTTGACTGATTTGTTCTCATAAAGAATTTGAATTGCAGTCCATCGGCTACAAAGGCATTCTCCTCTTTGGTACTGAAGAACAAAAACAGAAATATCTACCAGATTTGGCGGCAGGAAAGAAATTTGCAGCTTTCTGCCTCACAGAACCGAGCAGTGGATCTGATGCTAATGTGAGTTTTTGCTGTTGGAGAGAGTTCCATAGGAAATGCTTAGCTTTTTCCTACTTCACTTCTTCGAAGCTGACGTGTCTTGAGAAAGTTGTTATTTTTTTCTTCCGAATGGAGGAATTTTTTTCATTTAGTCCATCAAAACGCGTGCCGAAAAGTCACCCGATGGAAAGCATTACATTCTGAACGGTGGAAAAATTTGGATCAGTAATGGTGGTTTCGCAGATGTTTTTACCGTATTTGCACAGGTATTTGCTCGTTTAGTTCTGTTGATAATTATGGTAACTTCAATATCGATCAGTAGGAAATAAGCCCTTTAAAGAATTGAGCAGTGCCGAGGATCGGGTCGTCCAGTGGTCCCAACTAAGGGCACTTTGTAATGATGAAGGAAAGTTGGTCGTCCGGCACGATTGCCTAACACCCACTACTGCCTCTAGACACGTCCCATCTCTGGGGGAAATGCAAAATTTGAGTCCTCTGTACCAAGTCCTCCTCTGGCACGACTCTTCACCCCATCAAACTCTCCCTTTTACGACTTTTCCCGATTCCTACCACTTTTTCAGGAATTTTCCAAAAGTTTTCCATTCTCTTCCCAAATACTGCAGCAGAGTGCGGCGGGGGATTTCTCAAAGGCTAAATACGAACCCTCTCAAAATGAGAGCAAATATGACCCCCGTTGTGGACCCTCGATAGCGACGTACTCTGCTAGTAGAACCACCTCAACCTAAAAGCTCATCTACCTCTTTATCTTCCATTATCTTCATCTACCTAGAAGGAGCTCGTCGACTGGTTAGGTGTAGGGAAGGCAGAGGTTGGGAACTATGGAGTGCGACCAAAGCTTGTCCTGCCGTTAGGGAAAACTTCTGGAGAAAGCCACCCCC